AGTAAGTTGTAAGTAGTAAGTAGTACGTAGTAAGTAGTAAGTAGTAAGTAGTAAGTAGTAAGTAGTAAGTAGTAAGTAGTAAGTAGTAGTAGTAGTAGTAGTAGTAGTAGTAGTAGTAGTAGTAGTGGTAGTTGGTAGTCGTAATCGCGACCACTACCAATTCTGCTGCCGCTCGCACGGCCGCTGCCGCTGCTGCTGCTACTGCTGCGAGGCCTTTGTCACGACACATGTACAAGTCAATGAAGGGGTTTGTGGGTGGTGCATGTTGATGACGAGGTGGAGTAGGACGTACGGACGAAGAGCAGCAGCAGTTTCTGCAGGTAGTTGGGGTAGCAGGTACCAATACATAGCAAGTACCAATACAAAACGAAACTTCAACAGCGATAGTCTTGCAGCGGAATCAAGATCACGCAACGACAGCTGCCGAGACTTTCTCAGAGAGGACCGGAATGCAGGATCACAACACAGACGGAAGAGAGTACAGGAAATCTCTCTCCAACTCTCTCCCTCTCCCTCTTTGCAAGGATATCTGGTCTACTTTCCATGCTGGGATTCCTCGCCATCGTGGCGGTCTTCATGATCTGTGTGTTCTGCCCGCACCCTGCTATCGAGGGCCGCGTTGCCCCCGAAGCATTGCGCTATGCCGACAGTGGTGCTCTTGAAGTGAAACCAGGACTACAGGAGGATGCCTGTGCACTGCGCGTTGCAGCTGTAGCTATGGTAGACGGCGCAGCAAGCAGGCACGGTGGGATGCGATTTACAGGGATTTTGAGCACCCCTGGGTCCTAGGTCCCGGAGTGAACGATAGCATGGGCCAGCCATTGGTAAGGGAGGGGGTTTCGGATGCGCAGCGGAGTGCCTTATCCAATGCCCTGAACCCTAAACCCTGGACTCCCACTGCTTGAGCCCTCAAGCTCCAAAAGCCCTGAAACCTGCAACCCTCGACCTGCAAGGAGTGCACTATACAACGACAACCGTAACAGCAGCAACAGACAGAAACAAAAACGGCTACAGAAGCAACAAAACTCCATCCCTGTGTAAACGCGCGCATGGACGAGTGACGGCAACGTACGTTTTTACGTGGCCTGCGTGGGACGAACGACATGTCAGGTTCCGACAACATGTGTTTTGATTCCTTGTTTTTCCGAGGCTCGTTTGGGTATATGTTGATTTTCGTGGAGACGAGAGAAACTCACACATGCATTTTACGTTGCCTGTGTGGGGCAAAACCCACTATGTGTACGCAGAGTTGGCGAATTTGCTTTGCGTAGCCTTTGCTTCGGTTTTCCGCGGGAACCCTTGCCGCAAGACAAAAATTGCGTTGTCGTGGGGGAGAACGCTGGAAGACAATTTTGGAAACGTGCGTTTATGCTTAGCATGGTGTTGTTTCGTGTGGCCTGCGTGGAACAAGAAAACACTTCCTACAACACAAACATGAACAGGAGCATGACGGTCATGGGCGGAGTAGACACAGAAGCAAACAGCATAGGTCAGCAACATGATCACGACGATCACCATCATAATCATCTTCATTGTCGCCGTTATCATCATGCTAAAGCGCAAGAGGCGTTTAGGAGTGAAAGCACCGTCTTTCTTCAGGCGCACTTTTTGCAGAGGCAACGAGCTTAGTGCGCCTAAGTAACTAGGATTGTTCACAAAGCGAAGGCTTGGGCTCACTTGCAGTTGCTGTGTTGTCAAAACGGACAAGACCATGCACTTCATTGGGTTTTGGGCATGGATGCTGGGTGCTCAAACGCACTAGACCATGGACATCATTAGGTTTGGGACATGTATGCTCTGTTCTCAGAACGGAGTAGGCTTTTGGGCACGGATTTTCCGTTCTCAGGACGGATGAGACCATGAACGTCATTAGGTTTTATTCATGGGTGCTCTCTTCTCAGAGCGGAGTAGACCATGGACGTCAGTAGGTTTTGGGCATGGATGCTCCGTTCTCAGAACGGAGTAGACCATTGGCGTCATGAGGTTTTGGGCATGGATGCTCTGTTCTCAGATCGGAGTGGACAATGGGCGTCATTAGGTTTTGGGCATGGATGCTCTGTTGTCAAAACGCTTCAGACCGTGGACGTCAATAGGTTTTGAGCATTGGATGTAGAGGAGACACCGCACATACCGATGGTTTCGGTACTGCAAGCTAAGGAAATGCCGTAAAATGCCGTAAATACCGAGGGTTTCGGTACTTGCAGAATTCGTGAATTCGCAGGCGCCGGGAACGCCAACGCACCGATATATTCGGTACATGAAGTAAGGCACACACCGTAAATACAAATGGGATCGGCATGTCGGTATTGCGTGTTTACATGGTGATATAGCCAACCACAACAATGCGACAGCGATCAGTCGTCTCGGCAATTCCGTCTACAGTCCCCAAAATATCGCTCTATGAAGCCCTCGGAATTCCATAAAAACTGTAAAATAGTGGAAAAAGAAGCCGCTGCGTTTGCCTGCAGGTTTCCGCCTGGGAGGTCGAGCGGAATCTCCAACATGTCCACTGCCGCAGATGCGATGGGATCCCAGGCAGGTACCTCCCTGAAGCCTGAACCCTAAACCCCTAAACCCCTAAACCCTCGACCCCTAAGCCCCTAAACCCCTGAACTCGAAACTGTGTTTACGGCTTTATGCTTCGTCACCGGCTCGACAGTTCGTGGCACTCTATTTCTTGTGAAACCCTAAGCCCTAGACCGTCCCGGACCCTAAACCACTTTGGGTTTAGGGTTTAGGGTGGCCGGCACCTCAGTCCGTGCTGAAAAGGGTAACCCACTTTGAAATTCCACATCTCATACTACAGAATTTTTATAAGAACCCTATCAACAAGTAGACAAGTAGCTTTTGGTAGTTGGCATGCCTAATCCCTCCGGATAGCCTTGGACCTTCCTGTTCTCCCTTGTAGCGGATGAGATTGAGTCCGGGCATGTAAATGAGTCTCAACTGATTAGTAATACTCCCTATAGGGTCCTTTGGGGTTTAGGGTTAACGCTCGCAATATTCCTACTTACGAGTAAGAAGACCCCAAACACCTAGTCCCTAGGGTCCTGAAGGGTTTAGGGCTCAAGGTAGCTACGGTCCCCCAAATTCCCTTACTGCACATACAACTTGCAGGTTCATGAGTACTTATAAAGGTAACTATACTTATAACCCATATTAGGGGATCAATAACCCATGAACCCCCAAGAAGTAAGAACCCCCCAAACACCGAGTTCCAGTCTATTCGTTATACTCCCCAGGTCCCTCAACCCTAAACCCTAAACCCGATAGTTGTGATGAAGACGCCCGCAAAGTTCGAGTCTTTTTGAAAAAATTCGAGGGCGCCTTACTCCATTTACAATTGAGAAGCCCCCAAATACCAATCCAATCATTCCCAAACCCTAAACCCTAAACCCTAAAATCTAAATTCAGGCTTCTATGGGTTAGGGTTCAGGATGGTTCAGGGGCTTGCGGCTTGTAGGGTCTACTTGGAGGCCCAGGGGACTTAGTCAGTCGGTTATAAGTAGGGTTATAATTGGGGTAACTACAGTTAGGGTACTTAGAACTCTACTTATAACCTACTTACTAAGTCCCCTGGGCCTCCAAGTAGGGGCTCAGCGCTTTTTAGGTTTAAGTGTTTAAGGGTTGCAGGCCCAGTACACGGGTGTACTGGTCTGATTCACGGCATAGTATTACAGGTCTTACCTCGGGGTATAGCCCTCTGGTGTAAACAGCCTCGAACCCTAAACCTTGAACCCTAAACCCGAAGCCGTTAACAGCCTCGAATCCTAACCCTGAACAGTTCGAAAGCTTAAATCGGCTGCTTGCAGACTCTGGCGCCATGTTGTCGGCGCACCTACCTGCACACTGAGAAATCCATATTTGTAGGGTTCCTTATTATGCGTTCCTAACATGAGCCCTCCAAAGGTAGGTTATTTAGGATCCAGCTAAACCCTAAACCCCAAAACCCTCCTTGCAATAGAAGCCAAAACAGTTACTAAGATTATTCCTTAGGGTCCTTCTTAGAATTATTCGATAAAGGAGCCCCGAAAAACCCTATTCTAATTATGAAGCCCCCTAAATTAGTGTCCTTGCTCCCAGGGCAGGGACTCAGGCGCGAAGGGCTTCTTCTGAACCTGGAGTGGGAGAGGCATGCAGAATGTATCCAAGGTTAGAAGTATGGGCCCCAAGGCCCTTGGGGGGGGTTCTAGGGTCCCTTAAGGGTACACATAGGGTATATAGTAGGTATATAGGGACCTTAGAATGTAAGCCAGCCCAAGTTGGAGGTTCAAACCCCTCTTCTTTAAGGGTCATTGAAGATTCGACTTGCAACCCTCAAAAGCGCGGAAGGTGGGTCCCTTTCTGTCCCCTTCTTGTGGGTTATGCCAAGATAGGCCCAAACACGTAGGCTCGTAAGGATATGGGACTTGCGAACAAGCAGTCTGTACCCTAACCCCTGGAACCTCCTCCTGAAACCTGTACCCCATGATTGCACCGAAACCTCAAACGACGGGAGTCTCCCAGAATCTGTAGGTGTCTTCACCTCGGACGGTTAGCTCCAACGTGGTGATGGAGGGAGCCGCCCGCTCCGAAGCATCTGAAGCTGAAGAGCAGCCTTGAAAAGGATCCCCGGGCATATCAACAGTATAAACAAGTGTAGGTAAGGAATAAATGAAGAAGTCCATAGATAACCATAGTGCATATAATGTATATTTTATACATATAGAGAGATAGATAGATAGACAGGCCGACAGATAGATAGATAGAGACATAGAAAGATAGGTGGAGACAGAGGTTACACTGTTACACTTCCAGTGTGGTGCGTAGGCGTATCTTCCCAACAAGCTTCTTGCCCTATGCCGCTGTCAGATGCCTTGCGCTCCGTCGCCCAAGCTGTGGATAGTTGACACTGACAGTGGCAGGGTTGATCAAACACATGCCCGACATCCGAGTTTTGGTAGTTTTGAAAATAATTCTACGTTTTGGCAGGTGATGTGTGTGCGGTTTGGAAATACATAAACCCCAGACCCCAAACCCTAGACTCCTGGACAAACTTTCCACACGATGGCACCCCAGCCAGAAGATGCAGTGCATGAGTAGTCATCGTGTAGCACATGGGTAGTTTTCTAAATTAGGGTCCCTTTTAGGGTCCTTTTTATTAGGGTGCCGTACTATATTGGGGACCCAAAAAGGGATCCTAATTTAGAGAACCAGCCACATGGCAAATGCTAATCTTATGTACTGTGGACGCATCATGACTGCTTAAGTATGTGCCACCACAGCACTTTCTAGCCCTTGACGGAATCATGTTGTTTTGAGTTTCCAATTGTAAAGATCGTTGTTGCCTGCTTCAGTACAAGTGGTGGAATTGTCCATGGTCTGCGAGGTCGCCAATTTCCAATCAGAGCATACAGCACTTGCACCGGTTTACCGACTTCCCATGAACAAGGAAAACCCCGCAAAAGAGAGAGGGTGTTCCTGGTGGGTGCTGCCTGCCCACCTAGTTGCTCCACTCCGCTTGCAATACGTGGACGCCTCGGGAGGGACTAATTACCTTGAAGCAAACCCCAAACCCTTTATCTTAAATCCCCATAGAAGGTCCGACCTGCAGCCGGTGGAATGCACTGATTCATACTACTATGTAGAAGTACTACTTGGATGGAACACAAGTTTCTGATGGCGTGTGCTGTATTCGAGCTGTGTAGAGTCTTCACGGACATCTGCCAGGAACGATGCATCGAAGCCACAGAGGAGTCTA